TTAACCTACTGCACCACAGCGTCGACCCCTCCCATCATCTTCTACTCTCTGTACTCCAGTCACTCTGCAAAGTGTTGCCTGGAGGGCAGGTGCTGTGGGGCAGTAGGTTAAGCCACCTCTTGGGACGCCCCATCCCGTGCTGGCATGCTTGGGATCAAGTTCTTCCTCTTCCAGAGGCTTCCTGCTGTGTGCACCTGGGAGGCAGCAGCAGATGTTGGATCCCCAGCCGCCCATGCGGGAGACCTGGATTTGAGTTCCCAGCTCCTGGCTTCGGCCTGGCCCTGGCTCTCCTGGACATTTGGGGAGTAAACCAGTGGATAGGAGGTCTTTGTTTTTGCTGTTTTTCTGCCTTTCAAATAAATAAAAGAAGTGATTTTTTTTTAAAGTAAGTGTTGTTAATCCTTCGTACCTCTGGGCCTTTGTGCTTTCTTCACCAGTTTCTGGGCCATCCCTTCTTCCAAGCCTGCCTTGATTCCTCTAACACTGGCTGAGGGGCATTCTTGTCTTCTATAACATTCGTTGCTAAGTTTACCAAGATATTTCTCACTCTTAGGCTAGTTGTTGCTTAGTTTGTAAGGCAAAGGGTTAAGTCTTTCTTGGTCCCTGTTGCCTTGCTGTTCCTGGATACAGAGTAGGTTGCTCTGTGAGCATTTGTTGAGTGAAGCCATGTTCATTCATTGCATATCTCGGAGGAAGGGAATCCTGCAGGCCACAGCCTGGGCGTGTTCAGCCTTCTGCCTCATTCCTAGGAATAGACACTGTGTTCAGAACCCCATCGTTCCAAGTTCTCTTTGTTTAAAGACACTTACACATTTTATGTATCAGATTGAAGACAGAGAACTCTTCCATTTGCTGGCTCACTCTCCAAATGGTCACAACAGCCAGGACTGAGTTGGGCTGAAGCCAGAAGCCTGGAACTCCATCCAGGTCTCCCATGTGGGTGGCAGGGGCCAGCCCAGGCACGTTAGCAGGGAGCTGGATCAGAAGTGGAGCAGCCGGGACTCAACCGATGCTCATATGGGACGTCAGCCTTACAGGTGGCAGTTTAACCTGCTGGGTCACAACACTGGCCCCAGTGCACGTATTATTTATAAAGGAGCATCTCCCAGAGATGACCCAGGTCTTGATTCAATGCTGACCCATAAGAGACACCAAGCAGGGCAAGTTCTCTTGGTCCAGGGTCCGCCTTTAGTCTGTCCCCCTGCCATCCTTGCTCCTCCCTCCTGTCATAGCAGCCCTCTTTCTGATTGGATTCTGTCTGCTGTATTATCTCCGTGGGCCCAAGTGTTACCTAAGGAGATGGAGTTTTGCTGAAGGCGGGGGCCAGGACTCTGGTCAGGAGTCCTGCCTTGTAGCCTTGGTATAGGAAGAGAGGCAAGAGAGACCAGGCAGAGAGGGAGTGAGGGAGGAGCCTGCCTGTAGCATGCATGTGCACACGTGTGTACTGGGGGTGGGGAGTGCCATTCCCGTGCTGTATGGAAGTCAACAGCCAACTTTTTTTTTTTTTTTTTAGAGGTAGAGTTGCAAATAGAGAGAGGAAGAGACAGAAAGGTCTTCCATCTACTGGTTCACTCCCCAACGGCTGCAGCTGGGCCGATCTGGAGCCAGGAGCCTCCTCCAGGTCTCCTATGTGGGTGCAGGGGCCCAAGGACTTGGGCCATCTTCTACCAGTTTCCCAGGCCATAGCAGAGAGCTGGATTGGAAGAGGAGCAGCCGGGCCACGAACTGGCGCCCATGTGGGATGCAGCACCGCAGGCAGGGGCTTAGCCCGCTATACCGCAGCGCCAGCCCCAAGTCAACAGCCTCTAAGAGCTTTCTTTCCCTCCCAACGATGTCCTCAGCTTTGCCTCCTAGAATCAGGTCCTCTTCCCCAAGCTTCTTGAACATAGGCTCAAAAAATGATGGTTCAGGGCCCTGGGCAGTCTCCGAATCCTGAGGGCAGGATCGGAGCGAGTTTCCCTGGTCGCCAGCCCCCTTGCTCTTGAAGGACCCTACCCGGTTAGCAGCTGTCCCATGGGGCCCCTTCGCTGTACCCCACTATCTCCGATTTCCCCTGTGTGTCTCCCCTTGCTGTCGGGTTCACCGTCTCTGGACGCCTTCATCCCTGCCCCCTCTGTGCTCTCTGTCACTAGAGTCTACACGGGAGACTAGGGCTGGGCTTGGGTGCATGGAGCGGGTAGTGGCCAGACCAGGGGCCCGGGACATGAGCGCAACTTTCCAAGCCTCCCTTCCAGGCCCCTGTGGTTGGGGAGCTCCACAGAGGGAGAGATGAGTCAGCAGGGCCGCAGAGCAGGGGGGGTCGGGTGGGGGTGGGGATGCCGGGGTTCCCCAGGGCCAGGGAGTTCGCCGGGGCATCTGGGTCTCTGAACGCTGGTGCGTGTAGGGAGTAGAGGATCGGAGGTCCTCGGAGGTGCACCAGCGGCTCCTGCATCAGTAGGAGTTGTGGAAATGGCAGTGCCCCCTATGCCATCCTCATCTTTGGGTTCTCGTGGGGGGTGGGGCTCCTAAACTCCCCCTCGGAGACCCTGGGGATTGCCTGATTGGCATGGTGCTGAAGCTCAGCTTGTGTGTGTACATGTGACATTTGTCATACGTGTCCACATGTGTACAGGGTCTGTGCCATCCATGCGGGGAGCATTCTAGGGGCCTGTGAGTCCTTGCGCGTGGACGACACACCGCAACAGGATCATGAAAAAAGGAACTAAAAGATAAGTTGATTTTGGTGCAATTTTGAAATCCACCAAGTTTTTTTTTTTTTTTTCGTAATCTGCATTTTCCATGAACTTTTTGAAGCTCCTCTTCCATACCCTGGTGTGCATGTGTGTTTATGATTGGGGGTTAGAATGTCTTGGTGTAAGCATCACTTGCATAATGCGTGTACATATCAGTGTGTGTCAACATGGGTGCCTGCCGGGTGCACGCATGTGTGTGAGACACGTTCCTGGGTGCATGTACAGTGTGTGCGTTTGGCTTCATGTCCCTCAACAGGTACATATTAGAGTACACGTTAATCTCTGTATTTCAGCGGCTCTGCTCCCACTCACTGGTGACTCTGTGGTGGCCGAATCTTCCTCCAGGACTCCCTGTGGACTACGGCTCTCAGAGGGAGCCCAGCCTGAAAGGGCGGGTACGAGGGCAGCGGGTGCGAGGAGGTGGCTTCCCTCGGGACAGGGCTGGCGGGGGCGGAGGCGGTGGGGGGGAGGGAGGCTTTCTCATTCTCCCCGGTTTTCACTCTCTTCCCAAAAAAAGCCCTCAGGTTCCAGAGTTGAGCCCTCTCACCTAGAAAGCCCACCCTGAGTCTCCCAGGGGAGGGAGGCAAGGGCGTGGTCCCTGTGGTCCAGCCCCGTGCTGGCATTGGGAGATCAGAAAGGCACCATCCCACCCCTTCCTTCAGGGGCGTCCATCTCTCTCGGAGCTCAGCGTCTGGGTGGCCATGGGCGGAGGCTGAGGGGCCCCCAGGGTGGTGGGGGGTGGTGGATAGAAACCAGATGCCTGGGGGGTTTATACTGGAAGGGCCAGAGCCGCAGCCTCTACCCGCCCCTGCCACATGGCGCCTCTGCCTGGGCTGCCCCACCCCCTGGGAGGCTGGGCGGAGGGAGGCCTAGGAGGGTGGAGGTGGGTCCTGGACAAGGGCTTCCAGTCGCACCCCCCCACACCGGCCCCTGTGGGCACTGGGAAGGGGATTGGGGAGCCGGACCCAGGAGTATCGGGGCCTCAGCCAGGCTGCAGAGCTCCCTTTTCAAAAGGGTGAGGAAGAGGTCAGAACCCAGGGCCGGGAGGCAGCAGGGCTGAGAGGCGGGGGAGCTTTGGACATAGAGCTTTGGGGGCGAGGGTCATCTTTGTCCATAGGCTGTCCCACCAGATTGACACATCGGGGACCCCGGCTCCCTGTCCCCTCCCCTCGGGCCACAGCTCTCTCTGGATTTGTAAGTTTCTGCCACTTCCCAGGTAGGATTAGGAATTAAAACCCGCAGAGAGAGTGAAGGCTGACTTCCTTGTACCCCACCACCACCCTGGCTCTTCCTCTCCCCCCAATCCCTTCTCTCACCTGCTATTCTCCCCCAGAGTCCAGACTTTTTCTCCCCTGCCTCAGTGTCCTCCCTGGTGTCAGTGATATTTCTGGATAATTCTGGAAATTTCTCTAAAGCCCTTCTTCCTGACCTCTGAGTGGGGTGGGGCCAGAAATCCGCTGGGCACCTGAGGCTCAGGCTCACGCCCCCCCCCCCACTAGGGGGAGCCTTCGAGGTCACAGGGCCACCCCACCACGTGCACTTCCTCTCCAGCAGACGGGTGGGGTGGCCCGTGTAATCATCGGACACAATTATGCGCTATTTATACTCTGGCTGTCCCTGCCCCACCCCCCACCTGCCTGCTCTGAACTGTCCACCTCCTCCCGTCCTCTGGGGACCTGACCATGCCTTGAGCTATTTTCCCCGTCCCAAAGACATTGTCTTCCTGTCCCTTCCTTGTTCCTTGGGCCTCCCTTCTTTTCCTATTTTTTTTAAGCCACCCAGCAGGTCTGCTACCCTCATGCCCCCTTCTCACTCTCACTGGCCCTGCTGAACCCCCTGGATGTTTTCATTTGCTCTGTATGTCTCTGGTTCCCTCTTTTGCTTCTTTCCCTGCTGAACTTCTGGTTCCCTAACCCTGTCCTCCGAAATCGGGGTCACAGGGTGTGGGGGGGTGGGGAGTCGCATCCCGGAACTGGAATCCAGAAATCCGGGTCCTGAACTTGGCTCCTGACTCCAGTCAACTGCAGTACAATCTCCCTGGACCTCCATCTGCCCCTTCTGCCTCCCAGCCTTTTCCGGGCAGAGCTCACAGAGCCGAGGGAGCAGGAAGTGGGCATCAGAAAGAGGGCGAGGGGCTGTGCTGGGGAGTGGGAAGGGCCGGCCTTTATTTCTCTGATGGGCAGGGCTGGGAACGGCGGCAGGGGGTGGGGGGGAGCTGTTGGGCTCCATTGTGGGAAGGATGCTAGTCCTACCAGTTGGCACCCCCTCCTCAAACCCCTCACCTGGGATCTGACCCCAGGGTGCAAGTTTCTCTGAATAGACTTTCTGGGTTTCCCTCTCCCGACTGGATTGGCCTTCTCTCTTCTTTCTCATTTTGATGGGATGTCAGAGTTGGGAAGTCCTTTTTTTAAGTTCTAGTTCCATTTCTTTCTGCTGCTGAGGCACGGGATGCATAGTGATGAGGAAGGGAGCCAGGAGCCCCCTCCCAGGGGAGTGGGATGCCCCCCAAAAAGAACCAGCTGCTAAAGGCACCGTCCACAGGGGCTGGGGAGGGTAACTGGCGGGGGAGCAGAGCCGAGGGCATTTGCTTCTGGGGGGACGATCACCTCGCAGGAGCCAAGTCAGGGTGTGGAGGGGCCCACTCAGTGACCTGCCCCCTCCCAAAGTCTGCCCACCTTGTATTCTCTTATTAGCAGAAGATCCAGCTTCTGCCCCACAATGTGGGGTGAACCTGGCTAACACTTTGCCAGCAGTGAAACGGAGGCACTGGGAGGAAGTCGGGGGGACCCCCCAGGCTTGTGCTAAGACTCCCAGTCTCCACACCTTCCTCTGGGCTTTGCTCTGGAAGCTATCTCAGTGACCCTAAAAATTTAGGCAGGAGAAGCCTCCAGTCCAGGGCACACCTCCCTCCATCCCTCCCTCCCACTCCAGCCCAGGGCAACACAACACACACACACACACACACACACACACACACTGCTCTCCTGCTTTAGAGCTGGGTGCCTGGAACAGCATCTCCGTGGTCAGCCTGGGTGCGTGTGCGTGTGTGTGCCCCCACGGGTCACCCTGTTCATTCATTACACTGGCAGTGCCCATGCGGGTACTCCCGAGCGTGTACGTGTGCCTGCACGCATCATGCTGTGTTTGTCCATGAGTGTGTATGTCAGTGTGTTCCAGTCTCTCTGTGTGAGTGTCGTCCCCAATCCCCCATCCCCCCCCCCCCGGATCTCTAATTAGTGGTTTGGGGTTTGTTCCTTTTCCCTCCTGTTCCTTCCCTCAGCAGCGGCGGGCGGGCGGCAGCCTCAGCAGCAGTAGCAGCCGCCGCCGCCGCCGCGCCGCCGTGCGCAGAGCAGCAGCAGCAGCAGCAGCAAGGACTCTGGAGTCAGAGCAGGAGTGTAGGAGCGGACCTGAGCGGGAACGGGAGTGCGCTGGCCTCGGAGAGGAGCCGACCCCTCCCAGCACCCTCTGGCCACCCTCTGCCTGCGCGCTCCCTGCCAGCCCTCCAGAGAGGACCGAACCAGGACAACGAGCCTCAGGTCCCCCAGGTACTCGGTACTGGGGGAGTTCTGGGAGGGGTGCCCACAGATGCCTGTGGGTTTGTGCGGGGTGCAGGACACCTGGGTCTGCTCTCCCTTCACCCTTTCCCCCCAGCAGCCCCCCCCATGCAAGCCCTGACAACTTGCCGGTGCGCTGTCCCCCCTTCTCCTTCCCCGCCCCTGCCCTGGGTGCCCCCCTTTTCCGCTCTCCCTCCCAGATCCCTTCTTTGGGGGAGCTCAGCAAATGAAGCAGGAAATTTGGACCCTCTGCCTCCCTCTCTCGTCCTCCTCATTGGATCTGGAGCCTTCTCCGCTGGGAAAGCTGTAATTAGAGGGTGGATCCCTACAGACAGAGAGCAGCCCCCCCACCCCCACCCCCCAGTCCCTTCTAACTTTAGATCTCTTCTCTCCCAGTCTCCCATTCGCCCTCCCTCGCCCCTTTCCCTCTCTCCGGCTCGGCTCTCTCCATCCGCCCGGCTCCTTGCGACCCGGTCCCCAGCCTCAGGATGGCGTCCTCTCTGCTTGAGGTAACTGCCCCCTCCTCCCCAGGAAACCAGCCACAGTCTGAATGGTTCCAAGCCCTGCCACCTCCCCACCACCACCCCCAACTCACATGGACAGTAGCTGCGGGGCTTGTCACTTGCAGAGTCCAACAGAAGAGGACAGAGGAGGGGTCCTGGGAGGGGTGGGCTGAGGGTAGGAGAAAAGGTGGAGGTCAAAGGGCAGCCAAAGGAGGGGAGACCCCTAGGGTTAGCCAGGTGCACCAACTGTGAGGAGTGGGACCGCCCTGGAGGAGGCAGGGAGAGGCGGGGCAGGGTGTAGGGGGGAAGTACCTGAGCTGGTAATAGATGGGGAGAGGTTGAGGCCATGAGGATGGGCTGGGTGGACATAGGGTGGCAACTGGGGCCCTGTCCCCTGGGACTCCTACTTAAGCAGGGTCTGGTTTGGGGTGGGGGTGCTGGCCCTGCTCGGGGCTGGGTGCAGGAGAGGAGGAGGAAGAGGGAGGCTCCTGCGTTAGGGTGGGGGGGTGACCAGGGGAACTGAGCCCAGGCCTGAGAGAGAACCAAGGAGGAGGGACAGGGTCTCAGGCCGCCTGCCCGGCTCACAAATATTTAGCTTTCGGCCAAAGACAAACTCAGCTCTATTTTGGGAGTGGGAGGCTCCAGGGCGGGCTGGGCCACTTCCCCTCCGGCTGGGACCCCAGAATCCATGCCTCCGTGCTGGGGATGGAGGGAGCCTGGGTTCCGTGGAGTCAGCGTTTGGGGTCTTGGGAAATCATTGGCTCTAACAGGGATTTGGGGGGGACCCAAGGTTTGTGGCTGGAAAGGGAAGACTCACGGCCACCCAGAGACTAAGTTCTTCCTGCCTCTGGATGTCTGACTCCCGTTTCTCTGTCAGCTTATCTGTCCTGCTTTCTGGGTCCCCGCTGCAGGAATTCGGGACCAGAGGTCACCTCCCTTAGGGAGCCTTGAATCATCCCAAACCCTGTCTGGTGCCTGTTGATGCTGGTGCCCTAGCTCGGGTCCTAGAGGTGATAGGCCAGCCGGGAGGCCAGCCGGGAGGCCAGCCGGGAGGCCAGCTCGTGCTACCTGTAGGAGAGGTGTGTGTGAGGAAGAGCAGGAGTTGTGAATGCCTGCGTGTGAGTGTCAGTGAGTAATTGGGAGTGCCAGCACGCAGCTGCCTGTGGGAGACGCCAGGTGAGTGTGTGTGTGTGTGTGTGTGTGTGTGCCAGCTGCACACTGCTAATCCAAGTGCCTGTAGGGCTGGGAGGGAGGGAGTTAGGCTGAGTTTGAGGGAATGGCATCCAAGCCTCTGGGGTGCACCCCGTGTCCCTTGTCATGTTGTATATTGTCACAGGCCCCAAGCTGCTGTGTGGGGACACACTGGTGTCCCGCCACCTCTCCAGGACCCTATAGGGAGCCATCATCATTCAAGACTGTGGTCTGGAGGCCACTGGGGGAATAAAGTGTATGGATACCCTGGGTCCACCCAGGGTAGGGGCAGTGTCAGTGGGCGTAGGCATCATGCCAGTGTTGCCAGCGTGGCACTGGTGCCTGGGGGAGGGGCTGGCCCAGAGGCCTGCTGGAAAGACATGGAATTGGGATAGCAGCTTGGCAACAGGCGTGCGTCATAGGCGCTGGGGCTTCTGTGTCCCCCAACGCAGAGGCAGTCCAGGTCCCCCACCTGTTTCACCTAGTTTTAGGGTACTGGGACCTCGACCTTCTCTCTGCCCTCCCGGGACTCTCTGCCTGGTAAGGGGGGGCTCTCTGGCATTGAGGTTCAGGGAGGGAGGAAGCTGGCGCTGGATGGGAGGCTCACCTGGGTCAAGGGGGATGCAGAGGCCCAGGGAGAAGGGAGAAGTGGGGGCGGTGGCGAGGTGGGGGATGCAGGATTGGGGAGCTGGGAGCGGGAATTGAGGACCTTGGGTGCTCCGAGTAGAAGGCCAGTCAGTGCCCAGATGCATAGCCCAGGCCATGCTGGGCACTGCACTGAGTTCCCTGCAGAGGGGGTGGGGTCCCCTTGCCCACCTCTGGGTGAGGAACCTGAGGCTGCTCCTCCCTTGCTCTTTCTCCCAAGTCTCTCCGGTCAAGACTTTAACCCTATGCGAGGGTTTTTGTTATTGTTGTTCATTAAAAAAAGGGTGTGTGGGTGGGGTGGAGTGGGGATAGGGGATACCCAGCAGGTGGCCCCTGGGCCCTGGATTGGAAATCTGGCTGATGAGGGAGGGGCGCACATCCTGGGAACCCTCAGCCAGGACTCTCTCTCAGCTGTCAGGAGGGAGCAACTTAGCCACACGCGGGGCTCTGGGTTCCTCTGTGTGCCGTCCAAAATCTTGGGGTGTGGGTCTTGTGCCTCGCATCCCCTTCCCGGCTCCCGGGGAGGGGGCTCCGCTCTCTGGGGCTGGGGTCTCCTGTTGGCCTGAGGCTGGCTGCCTTCTTTCACCCCCCTTCCCTCCCCACAACTGGGTGGGGTCCCTGGGCTTGGCTGAGGCCCCTGTGGCCACAGTGTGAGGGCCGGGCGGGGGGACGGCGTCGGCGTTTTTAAAAATAAACCGACCGCAGGGAAACCATCGGAGCCGGGCCGGGCTGGGCAGAGGGGGAGGGGCGGTCAGGGGGGGAAGGAGGGAGGAGCGGCCTGGTCTGGGGGTTTTCTCTTAGGTACGAGTCAGCCTTCCTCCTCCACTCCCCCCCCCCCCTTCCTACCCTCTGTTTTCCTTCCGTCTCCTCGCCAGCCTCTTTCCACCACCACCTCCCTTCCTTTGTTTATCCTGCTGTTCTCTCTCCCCTCCCTTTGTCTCTTCACCTTTCCACCTTCGGGGTCCTTGCCCACGTCTGCCTCCCTCTCCCCACCCAGGCTCTCTCCCTGGCCTCGCCGTGCACAGGATCCTTTTTACGTTATTTTTAAGATTGATTGATTTGAAAGGCAGAGTGACAGAGAGGGAGAGACACAGAGAGAAGACCTTTCACCTGCTGGTTCACTCCCCAAATGCCCACGGTGGCCAGGAGCCAAAAATTCCACCCGGTGTCCCAACCCAAGCACTTGAACTGTCATCAGCTGCTTTCCAAGGGCAGCAGCAGGAAGCTGGATTGGAAGTGCCAAGGAGCTGGGATTCGAGGTGACACTCTGACGTGGAATGTGGATGTCCCAAGTGGTAGTGTGGCACTGTGCCACAACACCCATCCCGTGCCCGGGGTCCTTGGTGTCCTGGGTCTCTGGGTGGCTGCTCTGTCCTTCCTGGGGCTGGGACTTGAGTCCCGTCCCTCTCTATGCTGCTACAGTCCACCCACCCAGAGGCTGCAGCAAGGAACCCTGTGTGTGTGTTCCGTGGCTAGACTGGAGGCGGCTTTTTTGGTTACTCAACTTTGGGAGCCCATGGGGTCAACAGGACCTCACAGAGAGGTGACTGGGCAGAGGGAGCAGGACTTGCAGGACGCTCACTGCAGAAGGGGTGGCTGCACCCACCCCTCACTGCAACCTTGAGACCCCAGACCCACCTTTAGGATGGGTATCACACACACATACAGAATACTAGCAGTGCCACCGTCCCATATCTAAACACCGGTTCGAGACCCGACTGCTCCCCTTCCGATCTAGCTCCCTGCTAATGCGCCTAGGAAAGCAGCAGAAGATGGCCCAAGTGCTTGGGCCCCAAACCCAGATGGAATATTCCTGGCTCCTGGCTTCAGCCAGGCTGTTGTGGCCATTACAGCAGATGGAAGATCTTTTTCTCTTTCTGTTTGTCCTTCTCTCTGTGTCAAATAAACTAAGTCTTAAAAAAATGCGGATTGCTAGGAGCTCCTAGGCAGGTCTGAGAATCCTGGACTCTTGGATTCCTTCCTCAGCTTTACAGGGCCTTGATAAGGAATATGCATCCCTGTAGCCAGGATGCTACAAGGAGGGGTCCCGTGAGTGCCCGAGTGATCTTGAAGGTGTTTGACCCGGGAGAAGCAGCAGGGTGGGCATTAGGGAGATCCCTTTGCACTTCTAGAAGCTTCCGAGACCTAGGAGTGTCTTCCTTTGCTCCCTGTCCTAGAAGAGTGACAGAGGCCAGCTATGTGGGCTACGTGTTAGGGCATGGAGGGCTGCGGCTGTGGGGAAGTATTGTAGCCACTCGAATGCCTTCCCCGGGCGCTGTGAAGACCTCGAGCCCTCCCAGCTCGCCCAGAGGGGTACCGGTCCGGCGCCACAAAGCAGGAGGTGCCCACTGCCCGCTGGAACGATGCTCATGCCTCAGCCACAGCCCTGGCTTGGCCACAGCTCTGTTCCCTCTCAATGTCCCAGTGTCTCCACCATTGCTTCCTCCTGCTCTCCGGCCCCGAGTCCCTGCCAAGAGATTCCTCACCAGGGACACAAGGACGCGACCTCAGGGAGACCAGGCCATACCTTAGGGGCTGAGCAGAGAGAGGAAGTGAACATGGTGGTGGGGGTGGGGAGTGGGGGCAAACACGGTCCCCTAATGTTCTGCCTCCTCCCAACCCAGGCTGCTCTGGGAGCCTCATCTTTGTTCCCTAAGTCCCTGTGACCTTGGCCTCTGTTTGCTCCAAACCCACTTCCGGGAGTCAGACCTTAATTCTCACCTCTCCCAGCTGCTGCCTCTCTCCCCAGCTCTTCTCATGGTTATTTTAAGAAATGGTCACCTGTCCCTTTGCACTCCCATAAGCACCCCCTCAGGGAGATCTCAGGGAGCCCTGCTGCCTGCCTGCTGGGGTGGGGGCTGCCCGCAGGCTTGGAGCTCTCCTCCCACGACTCCGTCTGTCTGCCCCGTCCTTACCGGCCTTCCTCTTTGCATCTATCTCCCCATCCTCTTCAGCTCTTCCCTGTCCCCCTGTCCTGCTCTCCCTGTCTCTAGGTCTCTGTCCCCGAGTTGTGCACCCCACCCCCCGTGTACCCCGTTCTCCCCCTAAGCAGCACTCGCCTCTCTCTGCAGGAGGAAGCTCACTATGGCTCCAGTCCCCTGGCCATGCTGACCGCAGCGTGCAGCAAATTCGGTGGCTCCAGCCCTCTGCGGGACTCGACGTCACTGGGCAAAGCAGGCACGAAGAAGCCATACTCTGTGGGCAGTGACCTCTCAGCCCCCAAAACCATGGGGGACACCTACCCAGCCCCCTTTTCAAGCACCAATGGGCTTCTGTCACCTGCAGGCAGTCCTCCGGCGCCTGCCTCGGGCTATACCAATGACTACCCGGCCTTTTCCCACTCATTCCCTGGGCCCACGGGCACCCAGGACCCCGGGCTTCTAGTGCCCAAGGGGCACAGCTCTTCTGACTGCCTGCCCAGTGTCTACACCTCTCTGGACATGGCGCACCCTTACGGCTCCTGGTACAAGGCGGGCATCCACGCGGGCATCTCACCAGGCCCAGGCAACGCTCCTACTCCTTGGTGGGACATGCACCCTGGGGGCAACTGGCTAGGCGGGGGGCAGGGCCAGGGTGACGGGCTGCAAGGGACACTGCCCACTGGCCCTGCTCAACCTCCACTGAACCCCCAGCTGCCCACCTACCCCTCCGACTTTGCACCCCTTAATCCAGCCCCCTACGCAGCTCCCCACCTCCTACAACCAGGGCCCCAGCATGTCCTGCCCCAAGATGTCTATAAACCCAAGGCAGTGGGCAGCACTGGGCAGCTGGAGGGGAGTGGTGGAGCCAAGCCTCCAAGAGGCGCAGGCACAGGGGGCAGCGGTGGCTATGGGGGCAGCGGGGCGGGACGCTCCTCCTGTGACTGCCCCAACTGTCAGGAGCTGGAGCGGCTGGGAGCAGCGGCAGCTGGGCTTCGGAAAAAGCCCATCCACAGCTGTCACATTCCTGGCTGCGGCAAGGTGTACGGCAAGGCCTCCCACCTGAAGGCTCACTTGCGCTGGCACACGGGCGAGAGGCCCTTTGTCTGCAACTGGCTCTTCTGTGGCAAGCGGTTCACCCGTTCGGATGAGCTGGAACGTCACGTGCGCACTCACACCCGGGAGAAGAAATTCACCTGCCTGCTCTGCTCCAAGCGCTTCACCCGGAGTGACCACCTGAGCAAACACCAGCGTACGCACGGCGAGCCAGGCCCCGGTCCCCCAGCCACCGGTCCCAAGGAGCTGGGCGAGGGCCGTGCCGCAGGGGAAGAGGAGGCCAGCCAGACACCGCGACCTTCCGCCTCGCCGGCACCCCCAGAGAAAGGCCCTTCAGGCAGCCCTGAGCAGAGCAACCTGCTGGAGATCTGAGCCGGGTGGAGGGTCTGCAGCCCCAGGGCCTCTCTCTCAGTGCAGTGGACCACTGCTTGCCACCCCCACCCCACCCTGACCCTTCCCCCGTGCATGCTGGGCTCTGAGACTGTGCTGTCATGCGCCCGCACAGCCATTCCAGCTCCCCCTGCCCCCCATCTCCTTGCACGCATCCTCAGCTCACTGCCTCCTTTAGCCGAGAGCCTGGCTTCCTGAAAAATCCCCTCCCATGCCCTTACCTTGTTCCTGGTTCCTGTTCTCTCTGGCTTCCTAAGCTCTTCCCTGGTCCCCCGCCCTGATGATCACAGCTCCTCTGCCCTGGGCTCCTGCCACATCCACTCCCTGTCCCTCTATCTGGGTTCCCAGCTCCGGTGTCTCCATCTCCCTGACTCCCAGACACGCATCCCTCTGCTTGTCCAGGTCATTCACTCACTGCCGTCCCAGCTCCAGGCTCCAGCCTTCCCGGCTTCTAACTCCGCTGTTTTCCACTCTCTAGAGCTTTCTCCTTTTTTTAATTTTTTTTTTTTTTACAAACACAAAGATGATGATGATGATGATGATAATTTATTGCCCCCTGATGGCCTCTTCCTTAGGGACCAGAGACATGGGGACTGGGGTTAGTGATCTGGCTGGGAGCTGGGTAACCAAGAAGGGAGCAGACCAGTGGGGATCTGATCCCAAAGATGGGGCGACCCCAGGGTCAGGGAGGTTGCCCTCAGGCCTGTAAATCTAACCCCTATGCACCAGGAATAATGAATAGTAATAATAATAATTCTATTTATCTAAGTTATGATGACGGGTCAGGTAGGGTGAGCTGGGGGAGGGAAGAGGATCCATTTCTGCTTTGGAAATTCTAGCCCAATGTGTCTGTATTGAGAAACAGTGTTGGTGGAGAGCTTGTTACCAAACTTAAGGGGGTTTCTCTTTTCATGGGGTCTCTACCAATGAGGACTGAACTAAGCTTATGGGATATCTCTGTTAGGGCATCCCTAGTATCCAGGCCTGGGCAGAAGCTGTGACACTTCAAGTGGACGGGGTGGGTGGGGGGTGAGGGGGGAGAAGTATTGGGACGCAGCCCAGCTCCCGAGACCCCAGAGTAGGTCCTTCCACTGCCGCTGACTTCAGACACCAGGCACCCATCAGGCTGATCCTTTGTTGCCATGGTTACGGAGGGCGTGTAGCCCCTCCCGAGGTGTGCTCTTTGGAGAAGCCCTCCTCCCACGAGGACTTTGGGCCAGAGGTGGGTCGGGAAGGCTTTCTCTGGGATCAGATGCAAATAAGTCGAGTATTATTCAGTGCCTACTCTGTGCGAGGCCCTGTGCTAGGCCTGGTGCCTAGAAGCCACGAGGAAGAAATACTGACAGAGCTAAGCGGCCAGAGGTTCCCAGGCTGATTTGGGGGTGCACCCACGGACCCCCAGCTTGGGCCTCCTGACGCTTCCAGCTCCACCTTCGGTGACTTTTAAAGCCGCTTCGTGCCTTCCAGTGCCTTTCCTGTGACTTTGGATCCTCCTGTTCTGTCCCCCGCCCCGCTCCCTCGAGGCCCCAAGTTAAAGGGTTAAAGCCGTTGGAGCTTGGGGAGAGGGTCGCATTGTGGATCACGCCCTCATGGAGTCTTTTTTTTTTAATTTAATAAATAAAAGTTTGATTTGAAATTCTGTTCTGGTAAAAAGGGGAGAAGAGGGGAGAGAAGGGTGGGATTCCGGGCGCGTATTCCGTCGCGCGCATTTGCACATTGAACTCGCAAGTCTGAGAGCTGGTGGGCCAAGCCTTCCCGCGCAGTCCGGTTTTCGATCATCCAGCGCGGTTTCTTCCGAGGCCCTCTGCACCGGCCAGGACAGCGACCCGCCCGGGCGCAGGCACCGCGGTCTCGGTGCGGCCCCGGCCGGGACGCGGTGCGGCTCCCGGCGGGCGGACCCGGCCTGGCACGGAACCCGCCCCCTACCCGGGGCCTTCAATCAGTCATGCCCGCCACGGAGTTAGCGGAGGAACAAAAGCCACTCTGTGGCGGCCGTCCCCTCGCCACAATAGGGCTTTGTGCGCCCCCCCACCCAGGGCTCCCGGCTGGGCTTGAGGGGGCGCCCGGGCCGCTGCCCCCGGGCTGGACCTGACTCCCGGTTGCGCCCCACATCGGACTGGCCACCTCGCCGGGGCTGGAGAGGCGCGTGAGCGCGTGGAGAGGGTGGGCGAGCCCAGACTGCGAGCGGGCCGGGCTCCGGTTACGAGCCCCCTCCCCACCCGCTGCCGCCACCCCCTCGTGCCCCGTCCAGGTGCGAAATCTCCTGCCCTCCGGCGGGGCGCGCCGCTTCAAAGCGATCCAAGTTCCGAGGGCTTTTCCAACGGGCTGGGGGCTGCAGCGGAAGAGAGCTGGGGCGCGGGGGCTGCAGAGGGCGAGGGGCGAGGGCGCCTTGGAACCATGGGCTGGGAGGGGCGGCGGCTCCTGGGCCCCCGCCCCCGCCCCGCGAGGCCGGCTCCTCGGGACCCCCCAGGGTCTGGCTCTCCAGCCTCCGGGTCTGCGCCTGTCCGGTGCCAGCTCCCGCCCGCCGCAGCCTCGCGGTCCTCCCCTCCCCGGCCCCTCGGCCCCTTTCATCTTCCCTAGACTCCGCTTGGGGTTTTGCTGGTTTCTGGGAGATAAAAACCGCCTCAAATAGCGGCGGCGCGCTGCCAGGACAAACAGGGCCGGGAGGGCCATGTGCGCCTGGTTACCGGCCCCGGGCCGGGGCGCCGGGCTTCGGCGGCGGCGGCGGCAGCAGGCACCCGGGCTCCCGCGATGCTTGTCAAAGTGGGGGGCCCCTTGGAGGAGTCTGGGGCCGCGGCTCGCGCGCTGCCTCGGTTTCCCGCCCAGGTCGCAGGGGAGGGGCCTTGGAGACCGCCCGCTAAGCACTCGGAGACCCCGGGGCGCCGGGTCACCGTCGCGTTGTCGCCGGGGCCGTCGCGCCCCCTGGTGAGGTTGGCGGAGCTGAGCGCCTGGCCTGCGCTTTAGCCGTCCCAGAACCGGCGGCTTTGGAAACCAGTGCCCCCAGCGTCCAGTGAGCAGAGCCGGGGAGCAGGACGAGCAGGACAGTGCTAGAGCCGCGCCGAGGGTGGGACGGCGGCGGTCCTTCTCTCCAGTTCACATTCCAGGGCGAGAGGCAGGCACCTAACCGGTAATTACAATATAACCGGTGGGTGAGAAACGGGGCTTCGTCGGAGGCTGGTGCACGTTGAAGGCGGGAGTGATTTCAGGACCCAGAGCGGCGAACTCGGTTTTCCTTGAAACCTGTCTGCTAGCCCTTCCCACGGAGAGCTTCCCAGCCAGCTTCCCCAAGGTCTCTGATTTCCCAGGTGACAGTGAATCTGGGTTACTAATGGGGGAAGGGTTAGAGCCTTGATCGTTAATCCGCTGTTATTTTTCTGTGTAAAGGTTTATTTATTGTGGCCGACACTGTGGTGTAGCGGGTAACGCCGATGCCTGCAGTGCCGGCATCCCATATGGGTACCAGTTCGAGTCCTGGCTGCTCCTCTTCGGATCCAGCTTGCTGCCATGGACTGGGAAAGCAGTCTGAGAGCTGGTGGGCCAAGCCCTCCCGCGCAGTCTGGTTTTTCGATCGTCCAGCGCGGTTTCTTCCGGGGCCCTCTGCACCGGCCAGGACAGCGACGCAAGTCCTTGTGCCTCTGCACCCTGGAAGAAGCTCCTGGCTCCTGGCTATGGATAAACTCAGCTCTGGCCACCATAGCAGCCATCTGGGGAGTGAACCAGCAGATGGAAGACCTCTCTCTCTCTCTCTGTGCCTTTAAATATACATATATATACGATTTATTTATTTACTTGAAAAGGCAGAGTTACAGCGTGAGAGGGAGAGAGATCTTCCATCTGCTGGTCCACTCCCCAAATGGCCACAATGGCTGGGACTGGGTCAGGTTGAAGCCAGGAGCTCCATCTTGGTCTTCCACATAGGTGAAAGGACCCAGGCAGTGCTGTCTTCCCAGGTGCATTAGCAGGGAGTTGGATTGGAAGTGGAGCAGCTGGGACTTGAACTGGCAGAGTCTTATTTCTTAAAATGCAATCTATGCAGTATCAGGTGTTTTTTTTTTTTTTTTTTTTTTTTTAGATCTATGTATTTATTTGAAAGGCAGAGTTACAGGGAGGAAGGGAGGGAGGGAAAGAGGGAAGAAGAGTGACAGAGAGACAGAGAGAGAGAAGGCTTCCCTCTGATGGTTCACTCCCCAAATGGCCGCAACGGCTGGAGCTGGGCTGATCTGAAGCCAGGAGCAGGAGCTTCTTCCATGTCTCCCAGGGGCCCAAGGACTTGGGCCATCTTCTACTGCTTTCCCAGGCCATAGCAGAGAGCTGGATCAGAAGTGGAACATCCTGGATTTGAACTGGTGCCCATATGGGATGCCGGCACTGCAGGTGGCAGCTTTTACCTGCTACGCCACAGTGCTGACCCCAGTATCAGTTCTGAGTTCCTTGGAAATACATGCTCTGAACTCCATTGGAGAATCTGCACTTTTTTTTGGGAGGCAGAGGGAGCGCTCCCATCCACTGCTTCACTCCCCAAATGCCCAGAACAGCCAGGCCAGGGCTGGGCCAGCAGGAGCCAGAAACTCAATCCAGGTTTCCATATGGATGGCAGGAACCCAATTAGTTGAGCTATCACCACTGCCTTCTGGGGTCTGCATGGGTGAGCAGCTGGAGTCAGGAGCTGGGCACGTGTCTGAACTGGCTAACTGCTTGTTCCAGAATATGCAGTTTAACAAGAGCTCCAGTGGTTCAGATGTCCACTCTCCCAGGTGAGGTGCATTTTCTTTTCTTTTTAAGATTTATTTATTTGAGGCTGGCACCGCGGCTCACTTGGCTAATCCTGTGGCGCCGGCACCCCGAGTTCTAGTCCCTGTTGGGGTGTCGCATTCTGTCCCAGTTTCTCCTTTTCCAGTCCAGCTGCCTGGGAAGGCAGTGTACCTGCATGGGAGACCAGGAGGAAGCACCTGGCTCCTGGCTTCAGATTGGCACAGCGTGCTGGCCGTGGCGGCCATTTGGGGGGTGAACCAACAGAAAAGGAAGACCTTTCTCTCTGTCTCTCTCTCTCTCTCTCTCTCACTGTCTAACTCTGCCTGTCAAAAAAAAAAAAAAGATTTATTTATTTGAAAGTCAGAGTTAGAGAGAGAGAAAGAGAAATCAATCCACTGGCTCACTCCCTACATGGCAGCAAAAGCCAGAGCTGGGCCAAGCTGAAGCCAGGAGCTTCTTCTGGGTTTTCCACATGGGTGACAGAGGTCCAAACACTTGGGCCATCTTCTGCTGCTTTCTCAGGCCATTAGCAAGGAACTGGATCAGAAGTGGAGCAGCCAGGACACTGAACTGGCACCCATAGAGGGTGCTGGTGCTGCAGGTGGCAGCTTTGCACTCCCCCAGTGATGTGCAATTTTTTAAAAAAGATTTATTTATTTATATGAACGTCAGAGTTACACAGAGAGAGAAGGAGAGGCAGAGAGAGAGAGAGAGAGAGAGAGAGTTCTTTCATCCACTGGTTCACTCCCCAATTGACCTCAACAGCCAGAGCTTTGCCAATCCAAAGCCAGGAGCCAGGAGCATCTTCCGCGTCTCCTATGCAGGTGCGGGGGCCCAAGGACTTGGGCCATCTTCTATTGCTTTCCCAGGCCACAGCAGAGTGCTGGATTAGAAGTGGAGCAGCTGGGACTCGAACCTGTGCCTACATGGGATGACGGCACTGTAGGCGGTGGCTTTAACCGCTACGCCACAGTGCCAGTCCCAGTGAGGTGCCTTCTGCAGCACTTTGCTTTCTGACTGGGGCTGGCTCTTCTTGAGGGGAACTTGTCAGGAGGCCGGAGGGAGAGATCCAAAGTCCAAGAATGCTAGAACGAATGTGCCCTAGATTCTTCACTGAGATGGGCAGATCTTCTGAGTGGGGACTACACCTCACTTGAGGGGTCTCCACAATATTCACGGGATATGGATATTGTGAAAGAATTATGCATGGGTTTTTAAATGCTTTGCATAAAAATAAACATTTTTCATTCCCATTTTTCCTTGAACTTTTTGAAGTACCCTCATACATCCCCAAATAGCTTATTAACATTTATTACATGTATGAACCAGTGCTCAGTGGTCATTTGGTTGATGGCAGAGTTATGGCTAATAACCTCTGACATCCACTTGCATTGTATACTTTTTTTAAATACTGTTTTTCTCTTTTTAAAATATTTATTTATTTATTTGGAAGGCGGAGTTACAGAGAGGCAGAGGCAGAGAGAGAGAGCGAAAAGTCTTCTGTCCAGTCGGTTCACTCCCTAGAGGTTGCAATGGCTGGAGCTGTGCCAATCCAAAGTCAGGAGCCAGGAGCTTCTTCTGGGTCTCCCATGTGGGTGCAGGGGCCCAAGCACTTGGGCCATCTTCTGCTGCCTTCCCAGGCAAATTAGCAGGGAGCTGGATCAGAAGTGGACCAGCCAGGTCTCAAACCAGTGCCCATATGGGATGCCAGCACTGTGGGTGGCGGCTTTACCCACTACGTCACAGCACTGTATAACTTAAAAAATTCATTTTTATTCATATAAAAACAGATTTCACCTATTTCATTTACAATCCTAAGAATATAATAACCATACTTCCCTCCCTCCTACAATTTTTTAAAAATTTTATTTATTTACTTGAAAG